TGCTCGGCGGGGTGTAATCTGCCTTACAGCCGTTCTTTGTGTCGTTACGCAACACTCCTAAATATGGGCCACACATGAGGTACCGATGAAAGCAAAGATGTGATTGAAGGAGTCACACTACTGCAAACATGACACGAACACCTTCCAGAAAAAGGGAGCTGAAACGTGATTGGATAATATGCGGAAAGGAATGTGGTTCGATTCCTCAGCAGCCGTCTGTGGGGAGAAGGGTTGTGTAGGCGGGGAGTGGCCTGCGAGCAGGCTCACTTTTGCGAGTTCGGGAAAATTTTGATGTTCTGGCCAGCTTTGCCGGCTCGCTGCGCCAAAATTTTCCACGAAATGGCGCAAGGATGAGCCTGTTCTTAAGCTAGACAGGAAGAGGAGGGGACTGGGCACAATTGGAATTGACTTAACCATCCCACTATGGGTATGCTTGTCACATGTCGAACAGAAACTGTAATCAAAATGGTAAATCGTAAGCCTTACAAAATTCTCCCGAAATGTCGGGAAAATGTCGATAACTTAATTACACCAGGAGCCTGTGGGCTCCTGATTATACTTAAGTTACAACCCTCTACGATACCCCAAAATATTTATAACCTCCTCTGTCTAATTCTAGTATTATGATAAAATGGAACCGAACACCATCAAAGCCAACGCACTCTTCGAACAGCAGCAGCAAATGACATAATAGCCTGCAGTCACAGACGTATTTCCTGCCCAGAAATAAGTCTGTGTCCATACAAATGACAGCAACTACTCGGGAATCTGTTTTTAAATTGTGATCGGTTGTTTTTCTTAAATCACTTCCTGGTTTGTCTCACTATGGCTCCTCCTTTTTAGGTTTTTTCTTTTTTATTCAACCAAAAAAAAATTAAATCTATTTTCCTATTTAGCATACACTGAAAGGGAACTGACGAACTATAAATCCGTTTTTCTGGAACATAGATAAGCGAAACATTGAACCCGTTTACTGATGTCATACGAAAACGAAAAACGGAATTGAAGTCCGATCAATATATTAGAAAAAAAAATCGAAAAGCGAAGTTTAAATCCGATATAATTTCTAACAGTCGGGTTAGTCGAGCGGGCATGAACGAGCAAGGTAAGAAGTAAATATTTTGGCCCGACGCCTTATCTTGAGCGCGGCAACTGTCTGGCCTGATTTAGATTGATTTGAATTTTTTCAAATATTATAATATTAGAAAAAAAGATTGTTAACTGTATTAGCAAATATCCAGGAAAAAATTAATAAAACTATGCGTCGTAAATCATAAAGTACTGGTTAACCCCTTTGACTCTGTTGTCTCGATCGAACTCTGTTAACTCGAATTCCTCGCTGAATCATATCGAACTTACCAATTTACTACCTTCCCTATGGGCCGGCTTAAAAAGAAAATTTTCAATTTACTAACTCGAATCCCTGCTAATTTGAGCTGCTTTTCATTTTCCTAGTATGAAGGGGATTAGAGATAGCGGGTTTCTGTATAAAAAGACAATTTTTTTGGTGTATGGACATGTTGCCAGTACACAGAACTATGGCTAGCTGTTTGGCCAGCGCGACAAAGCTCGTTTTACTAGTAAAGAGTCGAGTCAAATGATTCAAACTTGCCGTGTAGCAAAGCAAAGTTAACCCTGCCACACGGTAGTGGCACGGCTCGGTTTCAGACATGATGCTTCTGCCGTGCTTAAGTCGAATTTTAAGATCGGCACGGCTGAGTAGCATAACGTTTGAAACAGAACTGAGTGTACGTTATAGGTCATAACCAGCTCAGGATTAAGCCCTGAAAATGGTGATAACAGTTTATAAGCAGCTACACGGACATGCAATACAGTGATCATAGGGAAAATTGGCACTGACCCAAAATATTTTTTTATGGTTAGCACTTATTCAGGATTATCCGGGGTCCTGGTTATATGTACCGTCAAAGTAGGTATTGGTAGCAAAACGAACTTTTTATTTGACTCAATTTACCCTTAATTTTTGCCCTGCGCGGCTCAGTCCCCAACGACATTTTCCAACTAAATGGTTGTTACCTAAATACGAATTAAACATATTTTTCCTAGTCCTTACCCCCTGACCCTAAACATAGTTTCTCTCGTTGGCCTTATTTACCCAAGGAAGCAAATCTAAAAATACAGATCGGACTGTCGGTCTTTTTATAATGATTTTAAAAACCTTGACTGGCTGCAGGTTATTTGACTCTAAAAACGTGTAATTAAACTTTAAAACCGAGAAATGTTTCAAATACCCGTTGTAAATAGATTTGACTTACCCAGCAAACTCGTAGCAGCGGGTACAACACCAGCGAATGCGACAAATCTTTTCAATTCTGCTCATTAACGTTTGGCCGAGTAATTAAGTGATAGGTTAATTGTCTCAAAAAATTGTGGAAGCTAATTTGAATTTAAAATTTAATTTACTCATGATTAAAAGGGTTACCTAATCTCGTTCAGATCTCTTGTTGACGGACCCGAGGGCGAGATCTGGTCAAGTAAGAAAATTCAAGTTTTTTGATTGGCTAGATTGTGAGCGAATCACGAGAGTGTTGTCATCTGCGCGAGGTTTAGCTTGTGCAATTCATTCTTTGCAACTTATTTTGTCTATTCAAATAAATATTTTTACTGGAAAAGTAGTTTTCCGTCTCAAAATAACTTGTAAAACCATTTTTATCTTATCAGTAACGCTCTCTCGGTATCAAGATAAAGAAATCGCGCGCTATGATAACTAAATTTAAATTAATTGCTCGCGTTGAATTTGATGAGGCAAACGACATCAAATATTAGTTGATTCATACTTAAGCTGTTCGTTACCACGTTTTGTTAGAGAAAACTTCACGGCACTATGAAATTCATTGTTTAATTTAACACGTCGAAACACGGCTGCCATTTTGAGAATTTATTTTACGCATGCGCTCTTTCATCGCCTGTCACATTCCTGACAGGCGATCACGTGCACAAATCAGATTTGACCAGTTCGTCGACAAGAGATATGGGTACGAGATTAAGAGTTACCTTCACTTTCTTTTACTTGAACATCCCCCACGGGGTCTCCCCTGGCACTTGAACTTAACATTTCCAGCTGTTCAAATTCTCATACCATTGCACCAATATGATGGTAGTCAAATGCCGTACTATAGTGCTAGATTTGCCTGTCGAATTACCCACCAAAGAGGAAGCGCTAAAACTGTTGATTAAAAAAACTTTTGCATTGACGCAATGTGACGTGTAATGACGTCAACTTGATTTGTTCAAAATATATTTCACAATTGCCGTCTAAAAAGGGCCATAAAGTTAAAAAAAATAATTAAAAATAGGAAGGCGTTTTACAAAATCATGTAGTTACTTAACACTTCGATGATCTTTAACACAAAAGCAGAGACTTACTGTTGACGTCATTTATTATGGAGAAAGGACGTTCTATTGACGTCATTTATTATGGTAAAAGGAAACTGGAACCATCCGCCATCTGGTGAATCTTGGATCAGCGACTTTGGATTAAATTTATACAGAATTTTGCCTAAACCCGTACTAATCTAAGCAATCGTAATTTAAAATTTGATCTGTGTTTAAGAGGATGCTTACTGAGGAGGAGAAAAAAATAAATGTGCTAGTGATGACATTCTGCGTTGGGGGACTAGATCGAACGTTCTCCGGTCTGAAGAGAGTTAATGTAGTTATATTGGCGCAGTGGTTGATCCAGATCTTCAGATAAGGAGGTTGGGGAGGAGGGAAGGTGAGGCCCAGTCATCCAGACCCTGAGATGAGGGGGGGCCCGGGCTCAAAAAAATTACTACTGCTACTCAGGCCTCAGCTTGGTCTAAAAATAAGGAGGGGTAACCCCCCTGGATCCGCCACTGTTACATCACTTTTTGGAACTTAAAGGCAAAAAAGGTAATTTGTTTCTACATCGGTAGTGCAAAATACGAAATACAAAACTAGGAAAATGATCGACATAATTAATGAAACTACCCATTCTCTTGACCCCTCTACGCGTTAAAATATGCAGCGTCAATTTACTTAGTCCCCCTCATGGTCGTTTCGTCCTGTCACGCAACGAATCAGGTTAGAGCACTGCCAAAGTCACAGATACAGTAGGAAAATTACCGTTTTGCCATTCGCAATAAAGGGAGAAGTAGCTCCCTAGTACCTTCGCTCGCTTCGTCCTTTCCATGCGCCCATTACTTAAAAGCCCCGGCTACTCAGGCTTTAGTAGCACTCCTTGTTTATTTTTTAATTAGCTTATATCTTTTCTTTGCCTTGACCCAGTGCTTTTCTATAATGGAGGTCAAAAGTCTTGGCACACCTAACATGATAAGACTGAAAATGACTCCCTTCACCCCTTGCACCCGGTCAAAACAATTTTGGCTGATTTATAGATCTCTTTTCTTGAAATCCAACGTTTACAATTATCAGGATCTTCGTCCACGGTTTTTGCCGTTAATTTAATCCAAACAATGTTGTATTCATGTGCACCCTGTACACTTTACTCGCCCCCCTCCCACCCCCGCTTCCTGAAAAGTGTTTGTTTTTCACAACATTGTTTGCAAGATCCAAGGGGGAGGGGATAGTCATTAGAGACGTCCAAGGTATTGGAAAAGTGGATCTCAAGCTACATTTGCATATTTGATATGCTTCCGCTGTTGAGGGAAGATTTTCAGTAACTGTCCCCTGGATTTGTGGCCTCCAATATCGTACCACATGACTGTCACCTGCAAACACTGAGCCCATTCTGCCATGCTCGATTAGGTTCCTCACGTGTGGCGCTGCGTAATATAGAAGAATTATAAAATACTATAGGAATTGTGCTAATATAGAGAAATGGCAAGACAAAAAAACGAACCAACAAACGTTGTTGCACAAACCGAGCGATTCGCTTGCTACCACGCGGCCATCACGCGACAGTTTTTTCGCATGATAGACTAGGACCGAATAAGTCGTATCAGCCAATCAAAATTGTGAACCGCGAAATTCGAAATACATTCCAGCAACATTCCAACATGGCTGCTGATTCAAAACATTCTGCTCTTCAAGTTGCTTCGCCTTGTTGTGAAAATCAAAGCACTTATCCACAGAACCAAGGTAATATGTGACAGGACTTTCCCCTGGAGCTCAAAATCTCAGCTGACTTTCTGATTTTCGGTTTTTTATAGGGACCTATTCTTGGCAAGCAGAGCTTCGTGATATTCGAGATTGCAGGAAAATAAACGACATTCTCGAACGAAGAAGCACTGAAATTCGTAAGCTTTACGAGGAGTGCCAAGATTCATGTAAGTTTCATTTTCAAATTCTTTTTTTTTGCAACAAGTGTGTTGCGTATTCAGCTGCAAGATTTCCGTACAGCCGCATACAATTATTATGCATGCATGTTTTGACAAATGACTGTTTTGAGTTTTCACACTGGCATTTCACATTTCATACATTCATATGTACGGTATTTTACACTGCTTTTTTTCTTCTCCTCGCCGCGAGGGTTTCTTTTATTTTTCTCATCACGAGGAGCACGAGACACTTGACGTTGCCATCCCTTTTCTGATGGTTGTGAAGAATAAATATCGTTGATTTGAGAATTCAACAAATCAGTTAAACAAATCTGATTGATCCCAAAAAAACATACCCTACATTTAGTATAAACTAGTGTTGTGTTTGATTTAAAGTGTGTAGTATTTGTTGTTTGTAGCATTTGTGTACCAAAATTGTGAATTTCTATACAGGGGCAAGTTTAATAAACTGTAATTTGCAAGTGTGCCCATTGTTTGAGTGTCTAAAAACAACACTTGTAAATTATAATTGTAATAGTTTTATTAAATTGACCCCGAGTTTAAAAATCAATGAAATAGAAACATATTGATCGCTGGCTTCTTTTTACAGTGGATGAATGTCGTCGTCTTGAGGCGGAGTGGTTCGCTTTAGTTACAGAAAAAGACAAAAACTTTCGCCAACAAATTGAAGAGGTAAGTAATAGATTAAGCTTGTCAGACAGGCTGGTTAATATCAAACTTAAGGCTTTAAGTCACACAAAAACCAAGAAATGAGGTCTCGGGAGAGTTGTGTTGTTTTTTAGATTCATCTTTTGCTTGATATAATGTGTGGTGGTATATACAGAACTGGAAGAAAGATGATGGGAGACCAATGTTTAAATATAAGACTACTAAAATGATACAGGGTGCATTGATTCCTTTTTGATGATCAAGATCAAGATTAGTGATCCCATCATCCCAAAGAGACCCAAGGGTGATAGTTGGATCTTTTTGAAAAAGTTTGCTGCTGTTTCTCCTGACCTGACTCACCACCCCTTGGTCTCCGAGGATGCGATCACTTGGAACAAAGCACAACAAAGGAGCGAACAAAGGGTTGCCCAAAGAGGATTAATTTTATTGTTTCCTTTGATACATCTTAATCTGAGTGATCCCGCATCCCTGATCCTGATCTGGAATATACCAAAGGAAATGCAACCAAAGTCAAACATCCAGAATTCAAACACTGGTGAGGAAAAACTGCGGGGCTGGTGTCAATGATGGGAGTGTTCATATTATAGATATAGGGATTTCAAGATGTTTGGTGTCTTTGGGACCAAGGGAACTGTTTTTTATATTATCAGAGAGGTATAGAGGAAGCTTCATCTGTAAAAATGGTCAAGCCAAGGTCCAAATAACTAAAAGGTTGTTTTTCTAAACCTACAGGAAAATGAAGAAACCAAGAGGAATCAGATGAAACAACTGTATGATGTCCTTCAATCACTGGGTACTTTCAGTTTTGATAAACCAAATGAAGCAGTTTTGAAGCGAAACCTGGCAAAGATGTACCACCAGATTGGGAAATACTGCCAAAGAAATGACATAGACATCACAAAAAGGTCCACAGTCAAGATGAAATCAAATGAAGTTCATGATGAGAATACCAGTGCCACAACCTCACCTTCCCAGGTAGTCATTCCACCTCCCCCGCCACCACCCCCTGTAGGAAATTTGGCAGCTCTTGTCACATCAAACAGTGTTTTGAAGGAAAGAGGTTCTCAAAGTCACCAGGAAAAGAATTTCGAACCAGTCAAACCAGATCCAGCTACACCAGGCAATCACCTTAATGAAGAGCTCCTTAACAGAATAAGAAATGGGTGTCGTTCTGATCTAAAGAGTACGCCAGTCAAACGTTCGCCTGGTGGCACGCCACTAAAAAGACAAAGACGGATGTCTGAGAGTGACACTTCTGATTTGATAACTGTGGCACTGAAGAGGAAATTCCAACATACAATTTTCCATAGCCCTAAAGAAAGTGATTCACCAAGATCTGTTGTGTCTCCTGGAGATATATAAGAGAAACATTTTTTGAGGTATATTCCATTATCCTTAACGAAACAACAACAAATTCTCCATAACAATAATAAGCATTTAAGATGAACTGTTGCATTTTCTAGTTGCATTTATCAGTTTACAATAAAATAAATGATGGATTTGGATGCTACGGATAGTAGAGATGTAAGTACAAGTAAGCTGCGCAAGAATTTATTTTGTCTTTTACCAGAAGTTATTTAAGTACAACAACCTTCTCTTTTGGGGAAGGGTGTTGTGTGATCACAAATTTGAAATAAGAGTTCCAAAATAAAACTAGAATTATTTGATATTATATTACTGGAAACTAAGATTAATATTAAATAACTAGGACGTTTTTACACCTATGCAGCTGGATTTTGAAGCCTCCAGCCTACAAAACAAGATTGCAATGTCATGCAGTGAACTGTAAATCTTTTGTTAATCACAGATTAGTACCTGTCAATGCAATAGAATGATATAAAACTTCAAAAGCATTTACATTAAGTTTGTGATTTCATCATTGAAAGAAGAATAAACTGCTTCATGGCTTAAGTAAATTTTTTTATGAAATCACCTATCTTACAGTAGAGTGCCTTTCTCACAACACAGCCACTTGTGGGATAGTTATGGAGGGAAATGGCCTCCTTCATTTTAAGAATTTTAATTTTGGGAACCTTAAAAGTAGAATTCAGTGCACTTTGAATGACCAGGGTACAAAATTAAAATAATTTTAAACTAAAGATGGCACATTAATTTCATACCCACATTTGCTTAATCTTTTTATATCAATGTTTTTTAAATTTCTTTTCATCAAACAACAGTGATGAGAAACAAAAATTGTGACAGATTTGATATCGCACATGAAAAATGGAGCCTACAAAACTAGAAAAATATTGACGTCTAGACAGCATACAGTTGTAATGTTGATAATTTAGATGATTAAAACTATTGCTAAAGCTTAATAAGTCTTGAGCTCACTATTAAGTGTTACTGACCGACTAAGCTAAGAATGATTATTACACATTAAGCATCTTTGTCATCCATGGACAAATTCCGAATCCCTTATATAATCTTTTAGCTTTTATGTATTTTCCATGTACACTGATAGTACTCATTACGTACAAATAAGAACTTGACAAAAGTAATTCTAATGCATAAAATAACCAATTAATTATAAAACGACTTGCTATCTTTTGTCATTCTGGGAGTTGTTGTCTTCATTAAGTTCTTTTTCCATAGCTTCTATAAAGGTGCTGGTTACTTCCAAACGCTGTTCCCTGTGAAGTTCGCATACAAGAGATAACTTTATAGAACATGCTGATATCAACTTTAAAATAAGCAGGGTTTGAGCCAGGCCGCACCATTGCGCCAATCCCGCACTGCAATTGGAATTGTCCCTTTAAAAAACGGCCAAGGGGACAATTCAAAATTTAGGGAAAAAACTCGAAAGGAAGCACACACGAAGACATTTATTTTAGTACAGAAATTGCAAGCTGAAACAGAACGTGGAAAGTATATTTTATCGCACCTTTAAAGTTCATTCCAAAGTTACGTTTCAGTCACGTTCTACTGCTATTTTTGTCGGAAATCTAAGACAGGGCTTCTAATTCTTCGCGCGGTCGCGGAGCCGCAAAATTCGGTAGAAATCTTATCAAATACATGTCTGTACAACATATTTGAAACTTATTTCAGCTATAGGGGCTATTTACTTGCCGTAAACCTGCAAATTTATCTTGAAACGTGCAAACAGATTATGTTGCGAAAAACTGGGCACTAGCCATGATGTTAAAGGCTTTGCCACTGGTTCATTTCTGGAGTGTATTGATGTTGAAAGAGCAAATGATGACCTCTGTTAGAAAAATGTTAAAAAGGAGGGTCTGATCAGCGCAAAACCGATCGATTTCTAGCAAAATTTGCCTTGAAAATAACCACAAAATTGTCGGTTTTTTTACCGATTGCTTTTCGGTGAAGTTTGCCCCGAAAACTCCCGCGAAATCAGCCGATTTTTCTGCGAATTTGTCCCTAAAAATCCCGCGAAATTTGACTTTTTTCTCCGAGACCTATCAGAAGTCCTGCTAAGAAGACAAACCCCTTTGGATCAGCAGAAGGGTGTACAAATTTCTGTCCCCCTAAAAATGAAAATGTCCCCCAAAATTTTAGCCAAGGGGACAAATTGTCCCCCAGTGATCAAATCCTAGCTCAAACCCTGAATAAGAACACTTAAGTTTTCACCATTAATCACTGGTTATGAATACCATTAAACTACAAAAGTATACATACCATTCACTTTTATTGTCAAACTGTTGTTGAACTTTCTTTGGTTTATATTCTTCTGGTAAGACTGCACTTCCAATTTGTGCAATTAAACCAACAGGCAAGCTAACAATTCAGAAATATTTCTATTTAGTTAAAAAAAAAATTAATTAAATTACCGTAAGTTGCAAACTGACCAATATTAATTTGATTGGGAAAAGGAACACTTATGGTCCTACTTAATCCAGACTCAAAAGTTAAAAGTAATGTTATTGACAGAACAACAGTGTTTGATCAATATCCTGGCACTGAAAAGTGGGGTCTTTCCTTTGCGGAGGGGCTCCCTCCTGGTTACAGTCGACTCTCTCTTAACGAACACCTCTGTAAAACGGACACTTAGAGTTGGTCCCTGCCTTTCTTTACTCCCTTTATTTGACTCTCTATAAGACGGACACCTCTCTAAGACGGACACTTAGTGCTGGTCCCAAAGGTGTCCGTCTTAGAGAGAGTTGACTGCATTCCAATAAAATAAAAAATGCCTTCTTTCCCCTCTTGCTGACTTCCCTGAGACACAAACAGCCCTCTACAAAGGAGAGTGGAAGTCGGTGGAAAAAATATGAGGCATAGCCAAACTTTTTTTAATGAATTGAGACTGATGCATCTGGAAATTGAATTACACAATTGCCAATGCAGTCTCTCAAAACAACAACAAAAATACTAAAGAGATTCAATCCTAATAAGTTTGCAGAATTCTCAGGTAAGATCTTATTTCCAAATGTCCTTCACAGTGGCTTTTTTTTTTTTTTTTTTTTTGCTCAAAGAGAGTTACATAACAATAAATTATTAATACAAGTTTCCTTTTTGGATTCAAAAAACTTTCAAAATAATTGCACTGCAGGGCTGTGCTGTAACAGTGCCTGGTGGAACCTGGAATCTTACAGTTTTGCTCCTGCACAACAACAAAATCTTAGTTTTTTCATAGAAATCATCCCAGGTGAGGCCTGCGAGAGCATCCAGTTTTTTCGGCTCAGTTTTCTAGTTTCACTTGCCTAGAAACTAACTTGAGCCAAAAAAACCCGATGCTCTCGAAGGCTACAGCTTCAGCTGAGCACCGGACTCTTCCATTCTTCTTGGAGCACAGCCTTGCACTGTAAGTGCAGCATACCCAGCACTTCCAAGGGGAAAAACAGCCCTCCATCTTACCTCAAGCCTCCTCCTACCAGGACTCCAACCAACATTTTACGCCAGCCAGAAAATATGTTGTAAAGGGCACCAGTTGAGGCTACATTAAATCAAATAAATTTAAAAAAGGAATCACACAAGGTGTGTTCATGGTTATGGTAATCTTTCAACAACAATCACTGTGGACAAAACTCTCCAGAATAGCCTCTATGAAGACAGATTTTTCAGCAGGCAGTTAACATGTGGTAGGGGCACTTAATTTTGCCATTACTACAGGTTTATCTGGAAATCTCTGCGATAAAATTTAAACTTTTGAGCTTCTGTGTGCTTTAGTTTGGAATTAATATTATTAGCCTGTTTCCCCACCAACTTTAAATGATCAAAGTATGGTTTCTGCAGCTTTTTTGCACACATTTCATCACTAAAAAGTAGACTATTTTGTCATATTAATGATCCGGATCCAGATTAATTTGGGGGACTGGGTTGATTTGTTTATATGGGGGTTGGAATTCTTGGTCTTATTAAAAGGACTTGCAAAGGTCTGAAGGATGTTCCACCCTAAGGATGCTGTATGGTACCCTTTTTCCCTGAGAAATAGAGTGAAGGTGGTATAAAAAAGTAACGAATTTCTTAAAGTTGTTAACGAGAAACTTTGTACATGTTTGCAATGATGAAAAAGGAAAGAATAAGGTCTGGAAAAACCTTACCTCCCGTGGCTAAGTAATTCAATGCATCATCTTTGTTTCGATAAACCTCACATGCAACAAGGAGGAAACTGAAAATTCATATATAAAGAACTGGATAAGCAATGTCACAACTTCAGTGTTATCAATAAAATAAGATGCAGCAGCAGTCAAAAGAATCTTTTGAAAACTTTGCTACTTTGGCTGTTGCACACTGATTTAAAAATTGTATATGTTTAGTTATAAATAATCTATACTATTTTGTTCCCTATATAGTTTCTTGTATTTTCTCTCTCTCCCTTTCTCATTTTTTTCTGTACCTGACCATACATGTTTTACTTACCTATAAATACCAGAGAAGACGCCAGCTCTCCAACCCCATCGGCCACCATACTTTGCAAAGCCTAAGGCAACTGAGGCTTGGTACTGTCTTTGAGCATGCATTGCAGACTGATACACAGTGAGCTGGTTATGTCGGCGATAATGGTCATCTGCAATCCGTTTGCCAAACTGGCCACCGAGCAAAAAGGCAAATGCTGATGTATAGCAAACAACACTTGGGATATGCTGAATTTCCTCTCTGGGTCCTTCACTGGATATAAATAACAAAAATAACTTTTAATTTATAATGTTTTTCCGGAAGTGGCTAAAGTAAAAGTTGAACAAAAATTCTAAATACAGTTATATTTTACGTGAAATGTTGGAAAACAGAAGTACTTTGTGAAGAGATTTCTCTGGATGGATGCAGGATGTCACCCACAGATAGAATAAAAAATTACAAATATAGAAGCAGCCCGGACAAGTATAATGCTGTAAATCCTCTACTAATCCCTACTCTTCCTTCTCATGGCTATGCAATTTCCCCATTCTAGATAATTTATGCTCACTATGATTAAGTTTTCACCTCTGTCTTAAGCATCCCACTTGAACATCACCCCCTACCCCCAACCCTTGCCTAAAAAAAGGAAGTAGATACTGTATTTTTTTTTGTACAGACAACACTGACCTCACGTCAAATAATGCCTTAATTCTGTCCCAACCATTCTCTTTTTCATCCTCTGTATGCTGCTTA